CCAGAAATGTTTTGTAATGTTCAATGGGAAAGCCATCCATGCCTGGAGACTTCCCACTTTCATAGTTGCAATGGCTTGTTTAACTTCATCCTCTGTAATCGGTGCCTCCAAGGACTCTGCATGTTGTTGAGAGAGTTTAGGCAATTTTATGTTTGAAAAGAATTGATCCAATTTGTTTTGTTCTTGGTTTACCTGTGAGGTATATATGTTTTCATAACAGTGCTTAAAGACCCCGTTTCTTTCTTCAGACGATGAAACTAACACATCCCCTTTTTTTACAACAGGAATTACGTTATTGTTAGTCTGTTGTTTTAATTGTCTTGCCAGTAGTTTGCCTGCTTTGTCACCCCTTCATAAAAAGTTGTTTGTAGTCGGAAAAGAGCATATTCTGCTTTTTTGTTAAATATATTATTTCATTTAAACTTCAGGTTACACAAGTCCTTGTATAAATCATCAGTATAATGCTCTGATAGAGACTTCTCCAACTTAATCATTTCCGCTTCCAGCTTTGACAATAGGCCCATATTTTCCTTTTTCCTTCTGGACGAATGTGCAATCAATTTCCCTCTTATGTAGGTCTTAGAAGCCTCCCACACTGAGGAAAGTTTCTGTTGTCCCCACATTTAGATCAAAAAACATGGTCAGGTCCTCAGCTAATTCTTTGCTAAACCCTCATCACTCAAAAGTGCGATGTTCATCCGCCCCCTACCCTCTTTCCTGTTTCGGCATTTAGTTCTATTTGAGTTTCGACAGGTGCATGGTCAGATAATGCTATAGGACCAATTTTACAGTCTATTACCTTGTCAATAGTAAATTTGGATAGGAGAAAAAAATCAATTCTAGAATGTGATTTGTGGCAATGTGAATAAAAAGTATATAAAAATAATTTGTCCTTCTTTGGTGTCCAATACTTTGTTCAGCTCATTGATAAAATCCAGATCTTCCTTATTAGGTGCATAAATATTACAAAGAACCACTTTGATCCCATTTATAAGAGCATCTATGCAAATTATCCTCCCTTCCTTATCTTTAAACTCCCCCTTTAGTACAAAATTAAGCTTTTTACTAATTAGAATGATTACTTCATTTTGCTTGCTGTTATATGACGAGTGAAACACCTGGCCCACCCAGTCTCTCCTGAATTTCAACGCTTCGACATCTTTGAAGTGTATCTCCTGTACAAAAGCCACATCAACTTGTTTACCTTTCAGATAAGTTAAAACCCTTTTCCTTTTGATTGGACTACCACAACCATTAATGTTCCATGAAATTAAATGTACCATCCTCACATCCTAAACTTCATGCACAAAAGTGCAAATGTACCTGTCATACAGTGGCTAAGATATCTGAACTGAGACTCCTTTAATAGAAAAATAAATGGCTGTACTCTGTCCCTCTGCTCAGTAGACAGTAATAAATACTGACAGTGCTGCATGCTTGAACAATAAAAACAAACACCAAATAAATCAAACATTCCATTAAGGAAAACAAAAACATTCCTGCCAAGTTAACCCGAAGGCAAAAACACACAGGCAGGATAAATTCCCTAAAAAAAAAGAGAAAAATTAAAAGAAAAAAAAGAAAAGGCCAACATTAAGGTCCGTGCTATGCTGCCTGACATACCTGGCTGCACACCTACAGTCATTAGGCTATCCTGCTCCGTTTTCACCCTAACATACCTGTAAAATTCTCTCCACCTGTTGCTGCAGTCCTGTCATATCTTTTCACCGCACCGTTTCTTCCCCACAGCGTTCCATTATGAACTTTTCAGCTTCCGTGCTGTCAGAAAAGGATTTCTTTTTCTCTTTCCATGTAAAGCGTAGGACGGCTGGAAACGCGAGCGTGTGTCTCACGTTTATTTTTTGCAACATGCTTCTTGCCTCGGTAAACGCCCGTCGCTTCTCAGCCAGTTCTCTTGACATGTCCGGGAAGAAAGAAACTTTACATCCGCTCCACATCACTCCTCTTTTGGCCTTGGCCGCTTGTAGCACCTTCTGTCGTGCCGAGGAGCGCAGGAAGCGTATCAGCACCAACCTGGGGGGTCTGTCCTCACTGGGTCTTGTTCTTTAAGACTAATGTTTACTGCTGCTTGTGTACTGCTGTAGGCATTGTAATACCTGCAGGGTTTGACTTTAATAAAGACTTTTGAATTAAAGGTTTGCCTAACAGCCCTGCTTTCAATATTACACACTTATACAAACTGCATTTAGACCATTGTGTAGTAGAAAGTGTTTGGGTGCTGACCAGGCTAACCATTTCACCTGAAAAGTAGATATTGTTCAATTGTTTTACATATAACAATCTTATAAATATTATGTAAAAAATGGATAGATTTATTTGTTATTTAATACATTTAACAACTAAAAAAAACACATAACATAATTTTGTCATGTAATTAGACTCTATAATTTTTATAAAATTGTATTTGTTGGACAGAAACAAATCTTTTAGAAAACATGCAGAAAGCATAGTTTTCATTAATTATTTGATACACTAAAGATATAAAAAACATATATAAAAAGGCAATTATTCATGTAAAAATAATGTAAATCTTTAAAACAGACATGTATAAATATATATAAGAACATTATATGGACCTTATAAGAAAAAAACATCTTTTAATGCATTTTACTTGTAAATTACATACATAATGTATGCTTAATTCATATACCGTATTTTCCGCACTATAAGGCGAACCGGATTATAAGGCGCACCTTCAATGAATGGCCTATTTTAGAACTGTTTTCATATATAGGGCGCACCGGATTATAAGGCGCATAGAATAGAACGTGTTTACAACTGAACAAGGCTGGGAGATATTGTGAATATATAAATATAAATACGTATAAAACGTAACGTATAAAACTACAAAAACAAAAGTACATAAGACGATTTCCTCAAATAATAAATTATTTCTTTGACGTTTCTCTTAACTCTCAAAACGCAGTTTTATACGTAGTGCATTCACAATAACTCAACGTTGTTCAAACGTTAATGTGCATATTCACAATATCTCCCAGCCTTGTTCAGTTGTAAACACGTAAAAGAAACACAGTCTGATACCGCTAATTCAAACGTTAGTGCAGGGGTGCCCAAACAGTCGATCGCGATCGACAGGTAGATCGCTGACTGATTCTCAGTCGATCGCGAGATGTTTTGTCAATATAAAATACAATTGTAAAATAGAAAAGTGATTTCAATTTCATCTCATTGCACTGTTTCCCACACATGATACCTGTGTGTTGGGAGCCCAAGTATACTTCCGACCTGTGTGGTCGGGGGAGCGAGAGAGAGAGAGAGCGTGCGCAAGAGAGAGTGCAGGCATGCGCAATGACGTGCAGGTAAAACCGGGGGGTAAATGTTTTACCAAAAAGTCATATATAGAAACTATGCTACGAGTATTAAGCGCATTTGATGAAGCTGCAGCTACTTTTCTCTGCTCCTCTCTGCTGTCATGACTGTGAGCATCGCGGGGGACGAGACACACCAACAAACAGCGCACACGCACACGCACACACACACACTTGCACTTGCACTGGAGCGCCAGCCACCACGCGAACCTTTTTACTTTTTACTTTTAGTGCTACAGCACACAGTTGATCCGTGATCCGTACGGACCGAGGTGGGAACACACGTGACCCGGTCAAACGGTCGGTTGGACTTTACTCCGTTCACTCTCACCGTGTCTGCAGCTAATTTAACAAAAGCAAAATCATCTCACAGCAGCCTGCTGTAGTCTGTAGTCTGCATTATTTTTTACAGAACTCTCATTTATTATTTTCTGTTTGTTGTGTGAGTATTAAATGTGTTTGTAGACTGTTGGTAAAGGCTATGGCTCACTATGTGGACTGGTAGATCTCGGCAGACTGGTAACTTTAAAAGTAGATCTTGGTTCAAAAAAGGTTGGGCACCCCCTGCGTTAGTGCATAACTCAACATTGTTCAGTTACGTATAACACGTAAAGCTCACTTTTTCAGTTCATTCCCCGTCCACGAATCCCTCGAATTCTTCTTCTTCAGTGTCCGAATTGAACAGTTGGGCGAGTACGACATCCAACATGCTCCCTCTCGTCATTATCCGAGTCAGTGTCGCTGAGCGCCGTGTACAACCAGTATGGATCAACCAATTAACCAATTGATCCATATATAAGGCGCACTGTCGTTTTTTGAGAAAATTAAAGGCTTTTAAGTGCGCCTTATAGTGCGGAAAATACGGTAATTACATTGTATGAGAAAAATGCAAAAGTGGCCACTTTCATGAGTAAATCATAGTATGAGACACACAAGTCTTGTAAGACATTCAATGCATGTAAAATATAAAGATTGCATATTGCAGGCAATGAAATATTTTACATGTTTTTTCTGTTTCTTTTCCGTATGGGTATATAACTGCAGGCGCAATTATAACCGAGAAAGGTGGGATAAAAACGTTCTAATTAACAAAGTTTTAGGGCTATTAAACGGAGCTAAATTACTGTGCAGCCATCTTGCTTGGCATCCACGTGACTTCCAATCTTTTCTTTTTTTAAACACAAATAACACTTGTTGCTTGAATGTGGGCAGACCACATCTGCTTTCTGGTTCCTCCTTTATCTGTCATGAAGTTCACACTCTGTCGATTTAACCTTTTTTGGGTTTCTACAGACTCTCGGATGTGACTCAGAGAATACAGAATGATCTGAGCAGTGATGATATCGATGTTTAAATGAATGCAGGTCAAAAGACAACAGGTACAGAAATAAAAAATAAAGTGTAAAAATCTTTAACTACAACTTAACACATGCACATCAAAGTGCCTGCTGCGTATATAAACTTATTTTAAAAGCTGGTTTATATGGAGCTCCTGAAGTCCTAAAAAGTGGAAAAAAATATCTTGTGCACTTGAGTTATCATCTAACTTGTGCACAAGATGCTATGTTGTGCTCACAAGTGAATATCCTGTGTGCAAGGATTAAGAGAAGAAACAGTCAGCGCTCACACACACTAGCATGTAGTCAAAGGTTTTTCTGAATACCAGTCCTTTATATAATTATCGTGTTCACACAAGATTTCAGTTTTTGTACTTTTGGGACTTCAGAGTCTCCGTAAATTTAAATTTCATGCAGAGGTATAATGCTAGGTGTTTGTGCTGACCTTACAACGCCATTTGTTGGAGAAAAAAAGCATCTTAAAGCAATAACTCTTGAAAGTTAACAACACAAAGTCTCATACAAACACATCTATCAGTATCTGTTTTCTACTGAGCCCTGCAAGGCTCAGGTGAGACAAAAAATAAAAAGCTGTCGATCATTTCGGCAAATCCATGCACACTGATTTACAATCTGTGGGCACAGATTCCTAAATGGTGCACACAGATTTCAAAACAGTGCGCACGGTTTCTTAAACTGAAAGTGTGCCTGCAGATTGCAAATCCGTGCACACGGTTTAAGAAGAAGAAGAATCTTTGACGGAGGCATAGGTCACTGAACCATCGTCAGCATCGTCTTTAGCACAAACCTGGAGATAGATCACAGAGCATTAAATAACACAAAATGACATCATTAAATGCAAAGTGCAAGTTGATACATGGAGAATAAAGTCGACATGTTGAGAATGAAGTTAAGCTGTTATTAGTAAAGCTAAAATAAATGGAATGAATTCTAAATGTTCAGATAAAAGTTCACATCCATCCTGACTTTAACCAATCAGACAGCTTACCCGAGCTCCTCTTTTTCCCTTCTTGTTGTATCTGATGGAGGTGTAGGAAACCCCGCCTTCAGGATCAGCCTACACAGAGAAGACAACAAAACAGCTGCTCAGTAATGTTTATCGTGACCTGTGCTTTTGATTGGAGCAAATAAAAAAAACTGGTTATGATCTTTCCTAGGGTAGAAGATAAAGATAAAGATAAAGATTGATGGGGAAATTTGTGCAAAGGGAGAAGAGCAAGGGCCCCAGGACAGAGCCCTGTGGTACCCCACATAACTCAGAAGACTCAGAGACACCATCACCATTACGTACTGAGAATGTTCTGTCAGCAAAAGAAGAAAAAAACCAATCTGTGAGCCCACAGTGTGATACATTCCTGGTGCTCTGAAGTTGCATCACCATCAAACTTCCCTTTTTATCATTGTCACACTCTGGAAATTTATCACACCAATCTAAGGAAGTTGTGACTTTAAGGCGGGGAGGGGGGGGCTCAGATGAATATTTATTTATTTTTGGCATTTTGGTTTCTGCCAAAAAAAATCCCTTCTGCTCTGCTGATTACTTCCTGAACCTCCAACAAGTGGACAGATATAATAAATGAGATGAGTGTAATGGAAGGAATGACTCTTTCTCTGTGTCTTAACAGAAATGTTTCTTCAAACTTCTGAACATGCAGGATGACATTTATAAGGCTCGTATGATGGTATCCAAAGAATGACCCTCATAATGTCTAAATTATCAAGTCTCTTCAGCAGCCGGTCAGAACAAACATCTTAATCAAACGTTTTGGGACTTACAACATCGTCACCCATCTGCGTTCTGTTTCCTGTAGAGACACAGAAACAGCTGGACTTTAGCTTCCAAACAAGAAATATGGATCATCCAAACTTCTAGATATTAAAATGTGTTGGTAAACTGAAGCTAACAAACATTAAACTTCTGTTATTAAAGTTTTTTTTCTGCATGAAAATGTTCATCTGTGCTCTTACCTTTCCATCTGATGACTTTCACAACGACCACTAACAGAACTATAAAAACCACCACAGCCACGAGGATCAACCACCAACGCCAGTCTGCCAGAAAAATAAAATATGTGAAGCATGATGACCTCAGACTTCTGTCCTTAATCAGAATCAAACACAGAGAGAGAAGACAACAGGAGACTCTACCTCCTGCAGCTTGTCTGTTGTTGTCTTGTCTGTCGTTCGTTTGGTGTCCTCACCTGAAGTTGAGATAAACTCAACTAAACAAACTGTTCAGCACTAAACTTGTGTTTTAATATAAAATTCAAACTTCAAATCCAAAAAAACATTTTAATATTTAAGTATTTCCAGTCCAAAGTAAGGATGGAGATTTTATAAGAGAAACACAACAAGAGACAAATTAACTTCATCAAAGTCTTTATAATTATTGTAATGTTTCAGTTTATTGTTTGAATTAGAAAAGTTTTTTGAAAAGATTATTGAAATACTTACTCTTGTTAACAGAGAGATGAACTCGAGTCTTATCGCCTGTTATTCTTCCTGATTTGATCTGTGACAGACATAACGTCCAGCATCCTCCTCTGTGATCTTTATAACCAGAGAACAGTCCTCTGTAACTCTCAGTCTGTCTGATTTAACTAGATTTTTAACCTGACCTTTACAACCAGGTCTACTACTTGCTTGTTTTAATTCACATCAACAAAGCCCATGTCGTATATTCACACTTCTGTTGACCTTGTATCAGAGTTTGACAAGACAACGTGGCGTTCTCTCCAAGTGAAGCTTTGAATGTGACTTCTTTATCTCCAGCTGCTGCTGCTGTTGAAAATGACAAAGAATAAACTAAATCAATAAAATGTTGATTATATTCACAATCAGTTTGAGAATAATTCTTCATCTGTGGTTTCTCAGAGTTCATTAAATCCATCATGTTTAAAAAAGGTTAAATATGTGATATAAATGTTCTTACCAGCAAACTGAAGCAGCGCTGTGAGAAGTAAAGAAGTTTGAATCCATTTGAGCTCGTTCATGGTGATTCTCCGTCTCTGTCCTCCCGTTGTCACGCTCCTAACTGTCTGAGTTTCTTCAGTAGTGCTTCTTTAAAGAGACGCTGCATCTACTTCCCTTCTTAGTATGTCATCACTTCCTCATTTTGACTTCAAGCCTACTTTAATGTTCAATTCTATGAATGTCTCATAGTTATTAAAACATGATGTAACATGTTTAAGTGATCATAAACTGATGATCATTAAGATGAGCTGCATCGATCAGTAAAGATTTCGGAGGTCAGAGGTCACAGCAGATTGACGGAGATCTTGTCAAACTGTGATCAGTGTATGAAGAGGTCCGTCCCTCTGTCCTCCCGTTCTCACGCTCTCAACTGTTCAGTTAAATGTGGCAAGATTGTGAGTTTTGAGAAGTGCAACGTTCCTCTTTCTGAGAAAATAGTTAAGTTAAAAATGATGTCTGTGAGCAAAAAGTGAACAAAACATGGAGGGTCAAACTCCTTGACCTCCTGAATACAACTCTGAATGTCCGTCGTGTTTGAGAGATCAGAGATCAGATGTTATTTTAGTGCTCTGAGATGTTGACGCATCATTTTGAGTCTTTTCTTGAGAGCTGAAGGGAAGTTGTTTGGTGAGAATGTGGTATCATCATCAGCAGTCGAGTCAAAACAAACATTTTCCTCCTCATCTTCAAACTCCTCTGCACGCTGCAGCAACATGGCCGTACTCCTGACAGCAGAAACACCTGAGAGGAGCTCTCTCATAAGCTCTCACTCTGTAGCAAACATTATCTAAATACACTATAGTGATGTGTAGTTCATGAACGACTCGTTCAAAACGAACGAATCATCTGGGTGAACGAACTGAACTGAATCACTTACTGAAAAGAGTCGTTCATTTCTCAACTTCAGTTGTTCTCTCCTCTCTCCCGTCTCGTGTCTCTCTCTAGACCATAAGAGTCTCTCAAAGCCCGCCCTCCCTCTCCTCTCATGTCAGTGATACGTACTGACTGAACCAACAGGACAGAGTCGGTCAGGAGCTCTGTGTCTCTAAAGCCCGCCCCTACTTCTCCCTCTCATGTCTCCAAAATTGAGGAAGTAGAAAATATATTATTTAACATTTAGGTGTCGCGAAAATGTTTGTGCTTTTTATATCTGCTGTCAGTTTACAAACGGCTTTTATATCCAACTTAATTTAACTCAGCTGACTGTTTTAACATCTACTAACCATCATGTTTCAGTCAGTACTGTGTGTGTGTGTGTTGTGTGTGTTGTGTGTGTGTGTGTGTGTGTGTGTGACTGAGGCTGGTGACTCACAGTCTCGCTCGTTCACGTTCAGTCAGTGTTTCGTTCACTGAACGAACTGAACGAGCGCTCCGACATGAATCACTGACTGACTGAGAGGGAGAGCTCTCTCAGTCAGTGATTGTTTTAGCAGCTTTCAGTTTGCAAACTGTAGCTTTATCCAACTAAATTCTCAGCTCATTTGCTTATTATTCACCACCGGCTGTTCTCAGTACGATCGCGAGCAGAACTAAACGTTCGGCCAAGGGAAAGCCATGTGAGAGCACTAGAACCATCTCCAAAGACACACATTTTCAGTGTTTTTTCTCTTATGGCGTTTAGACAGACATTCAACAATGACAATCCCATCTCTACTGTTATCCTGATGGACCTCACTTCTCCAAATTTATCC